CACGCGGGCGACCCGGGTCCGATTCCCGGCCGGTGCACTTTTTTTGCTTCTTAACATCTGTTTTCGATTACACATGAAAGTATATATTGATAACGCTATTTAAATTTATTTCTAATACAGTTACATTTAATAACTATCGTTCAAACGTTTCAGATTAATATAACAGATATTTACATAACATCACATATGGCTGAAACAAATTTTTCTATATAATCTTAACTTGTATACAAAAAAGGTTTTTTCTTTCTGAATTAAAAATATAACAAAGTATTGCACGGAATCGTTTTCATAATCTATTTTATTGTTTCCTTTTCAGTCGCCAAAGCTGACATTTCTAGAAAACCCTATAAAATAAAAAAAATAAATTATAATATACAACAATAAATGAATATTATTGCATACTTTAAGAGCAGTGCTGACACCATTAACATCAAGTAAAAATGTATCATGTCCAAAGATACTATTCAATTCAAAGAAGGTTACACGAGGATTTCCTACAAATAGTATAGAATATATTTTATTGTTTTTTTTTGTAAATTTTATCTAACCAGCATTGATAAGACCTTCAGCTAATTGTTTCTGTTGCCAAATTGGAAAAAGAATATCTGTTTGTGATCCTAAAACAAGTACAGGACATTGAATTTTTGCTAATGCATCAGTTGGATTATCATATCCTTCGGCTAAATTGAATAGATCCATTGCCTATGAAATTTTATAAGAATATAAATATTAAATTGTCTAATTGTATCTTTACTTTAGAAATATATAATAATGAATTTGGATCATATTTTTTTGCAAATGTTAATCCTTGATATTGTAAATAACTTTCAATTTCAAATGTTGGTGTTAAATTTATTTTATCATTAAAACGACGTAAACCAAATCGTTCAAGCCATTCAGGTCCAGAACGATATGTAAGTGTAGCAATTTCTCTTGCAATACGCATTCCATCTAGTGGATAACCATCTTTTTCATAATAATGACCATTATGCCAATTTGGATCAGTCATTATCATTTTTCGTTGAAGATATCGTAGAGCAATTGCAGTTGGATACGGTGCAATACAAGATGAAATAGTTGCTACTCTAAAGAAATAAAAATTAAAACAAATTAAGCTATTAAATAAAATTAATTATCTACCTGCCAACCATTTCGGGATATAAGAGACCTGATAGAATGGAACACATACCACCTAATGATGAACCAATACTGGCATGAAGCTATAGTTAAATAAATAAAAAAACTAAGTTAAGAATTATGTATCTATACTTTTTCAATTCCAAAATGTTTAAGTAATTGAAATTGTGCACGAACAAAATCTTCGACAGATAACATAGGAAAAGAAGTGCCATATGATTTATTTGTTTCTGGATTGATCGATGATGGTCCACTAATGATATACAAATAATTAAAAATAAATAAATTAAAAATTAAAACATACGTTGAACCATAACAACCTCCAAGATGGTTACAGCAAATGACAAAAAAATGATTTGTATCAATACCTAAATTTGGTCCAATAAATTGTTCCCACCAACCAGGTTTTGTATTTTCCTAGATATTTATTAATTTGAATTAAATAACAAAAATAATATAACATACATCATGACTTTTTGCATGTGAACTAGCACTAAGACCAGTAAAGATAAGAATAGCATTATTTTTCTTTTTATTTAGCTTGCCCCATGTTTCATAAGCAATTTGAAATTCTTTTAATGACTTATTATTATATTTCAATTGAAAAGGTTCATTTTTATGTTTATATAGTTTATAACCTGATACAATTTGATAATAAGCTGGTTCAGGTCCTTCTACTGAAGAATGTGCCCTATTACATAATAAATATTTATTAATAGCAAAATATGATATAAACTTACCATCGAATGGTAACTAAACGAGAAACATTTGAGGTTGTGGAGGAAATTAGTCTTGACCAAACATACATCGTTTTATTTTATGTTTTAAAAAAAGTTTCGTTTTTTTTTGCGCGTTCTTTGTCCTCGACAAATACCAATAACCGCTCACATTCGTATCATTTCTTCATCATATGTTGACTGTGTGTGTGCACGTGAATAAAAAAGCCTTCAATATATCAATGACAAAGCGTTTTTTTTATCAATATACAAAAATAGAAATTTACTAGATTGAAAATAAAATTAATTATGTTTGTTTGTTAATTAACAAGTCACTATATATCTTAATAATATATAAATTTATTTTCAAGATTATGATATATTTTTCTAGAACAAGAAAAATGTTTTTATTTTTTGCTTCGACCTATATATGAATGAAAACTATAACAAATGACAAATAATTTTTCTATTTATTTATCTATTAACAATCCTTTTTTATAAAGTTTATCAAACGGAATTGGTGCTCGTTGTTCATCAGTTTCAAATAAACGACGTAATGCATCACGAGCTGCCATTTCTTCGGCAATTGAAATTGTTGCACCAGCACCTGAAAAATTATCGAAAATTTCTTATTAATAATATCATATAGATAATTTTTATTTACTTTTTCCAAGATATTCTTTATTGGAATATATACCAACAACATAAGTTGACAAAACACTCGAAACACCTGTTGCCCATATCAATCTATTAGAAAATTAACAACTCATTTTTTTTATTCTTGTATTTTTAACGAACCGAGACTCAGGTGCTTGTCGTCCATTCTCTTCTAAAACTTTTGTTAATAGACCCATTGGATTTTTAATATGCCATATTTCATTAATATCTTTACCAACAAGATGAGTCAAAATAAAATCAGCAACAAAAAGTTCAGCTCGATGTCGATCATTATTCTCATCGATGGCACCAATAAAAGCTAAAAAAGCCTTTTTAAGCATTGTCGAATGTGGTGATGGAACCTATAAAAATTATTATCCTATACTATGAATAGAAGTAATCTACAAAAAAATACATACATCACATCGAATAAGTGTTTTAAATCCAAGTCCTGAACTAATATCAGCTATTGTTGGTTCTGAAAGGAGAAATTTCGTTATAGTACTAAAATAAAACGATAGATATATTTATAGATATAAATCATTACTAAAGTACATACTCAATGCCTTCTTGTGGAAATTTTGGATACCAATATTGAAGAGCTCTTCGAAGAAAATCTTCTGCAATTTGTTCGCCTAATAATTAATATTAATTAAATTTATAATTTTTCCATCAATTTCTTACCTCGTTTAGCTAATTCTTCATTATGAGTAAATGATAATGTTGTTTGATCATTAGCAGCAAGACCTTTTCAAAATAAAATAAATTATTTTCCTGTTATAAAACTTTCTTTATTAGTTTATTACCTGCTTCTGTACGTTGTTTAACAATTTGATTTAAAAACGAAGAATCTGTCAAAGCATGTCGTAAAGATTCAATATTTATTTTTTCACCAAATCTATGTGTACATGCATGTAATTCTGCATCATAATTCCTTTATATAAAATAAAAATTATTTTCTTTTTTTCCAAACAAAAAAAACGGTAATATACCAATTAATCAATGCAGATCGAAAACGTTCTGGTTCAGGTCCAGCTTCAATTCTTCTTTTATATAAATCTGTTTTATATAAATATCTCCAACGATCTTTCAATGGTCCAAATATAGTTCCATAACGTAATAAACGAACCATAGTTTCTTAATCTAGAAGCCAAAAAGAAGAAAATAAACTCGTTTTTTTATTCGCTTTCAATAAGCGCATGATTACTAATGACAAAAAAAACAAAGGTTGACGAAACACAAAAAAGAAAAAGGACGGATATAATAAATATTTCTGTATAATATAGGTTTATATATTAAGCAACATATTCATATACATTAGCATTGTCCGTTGATCGTTTCATATATTCACGTTCGATTAAACTTTCAATACGTGTTTTAACGCTTGATGTTGATATAGGAAATTTTAATTGTGAAAAGACTTCAGCTATAAGTTGTGCATGTGATAATGTTTTACGTATTTTCATTATTCGAACAATAGCTGCATCAATTTGATACTGTCGATCTTGAACTACACGTTGAGTTGTTGAGCTATTTTCTTCAGGCTAAACACATAAAATAAATAAATAATTATTTTTCTGAAGTCATTTTATTATATACTGTTTCTTTTAATTGAACTTGATTAATTTTTATTCGAATTAATTTATGATCAAATGAAGTATTCAATGTAAATCGATCATCTATATTGATGTCTTTACTCTAAAAATTAATAAATGACTTTTTGAAAATAGAGAGAGAGAGAAATTAATTTACTATTGGTTTTTTATTTAATAAACGTATTTTTCCACATGCTAATGATTGTAACGTGCGTTGTAATTCAGCTTCTTCTAAAAATTTAAAAAACTAATGAATATAAACAAATAAAACAAAAATACGAACGAATTTTCGTTTGTTCTTGAATATCTTTATAATTAAGATCTGTATGTTGATTAAATAGAAGAAGAACAAGTGCTTGATAGAGTGAAACATGAAATTCTTTTACTGCCTAAAATATATTCAATAGATGTAAATGAATCAAATTGTAATTAATATTTAATTGCAACCTTTTCTTTAAGCCATCCTTTAAGTAAACAATGATCAAGTGTATATTGCCATTGTAGTTTACGTCCTGTATGTTTGCTTAAATAAAAACTTGTAAAAATTTCTTGCAATCGACAAAGCTACAATTAATAGTTGTTAATAATCAAAAAAATCGAGAACAAAAATCATTACTTCAGCTGGTAGAATAGCACTAACGGTTGGATATGTTGGCCAAAAACCCATTGTTAATACATAAACATACATACCAACAGTTCCTGGTGTTTTACGATTATGCATATGCTAAAATATATTGTATTCAAAATTGATTATTATGTATGATAAAAATTATTTTCTTACCTGTTCAAATGCTGTCATGATATCTTTTGATAATTCCATATCTTTAAACATTCCTTCAAGTTTACTTGTAAATATATTTCCACATTCTACATATAAATAAAATTCGATTTTATACTTTTGATCATACAAATCATCTAACTAACCTTGTTTAAGCTTAAGTAACATAGATTTTTCTGCATCAACTGATGCACTTTTACCAACTAATAAACGTTTAGCTAAATCTTTTTTATAAAACGCTTCAAATACATCTTTTCCATGTATAAAACGAAATAAAATAAGTAATTTATCCAGTATTTTTTCTAATTCTTCTTCAGATGCTTCCTTATTTCCCGAACGTAATCTTGCATCAACTGCTTTGGCTAAAAAAAATTAATATAGAGAAAAAACAATAATGACTTTTTTTCTCAAACCAATTAATTCAGCTGGTTTATTTGCACGTTGATTCATGAAATTTTCAAATGAATCTTTAAGTGTATTTGAAAATTTTTCATTATTATGAAAACATTCACGAAGAAAATGATCTAATTTTTCTTTAAAATCAAGTAATTCATCGACCATTTTATCATCTTTATCAGCATCGACGACTAATGCACGACCATGAGTCTAAAAAAATCAATTGTATAAATCACCAAAAAAAAAGATTTCCTTTTATTTATTACTTTTATATAATTTCCAAATGCTTCACGAAGATCATTGATAACACTAATACCAATTCGAAAAAATAGATCATACAATAATGCAACAGATATAAAACGATTTTCATTAATAAGTTTGTCGAAATTTTTTGAAAGCATCTGTTTAATATGATTTGTTATTAAATTATTTTCCACAAGATGAATTAATTGAAGTCTAAACATTTTATTTGTAAGCAAAAATATAACATGAAGAATATTTCTATTACTTTGTTGATTGATCAATATAATTCGTAATTCGTGCTTGTTCTTCTTGAAGACGACGTTCAATATGTGAAAGATACTGACTTAATTCTAATGTTTGAATTAATTGACGACCTTCATTACGATAGAGTTCTTCAGTTGACTGTAAAAATGATGGTTCAAAATCTTTTTTATAAAGCTAAAAACAAAGTATAAGTATAGAATGAAATGATATTGTTTTAGTTACGTGAAGATCAATTAACATTCGAATAAGATTTTTCATCAAACTTCTATCAATTGTTTCACCTCGTCTTTCCTGTTCGATTAATTTGAGCAAACCAGTAACACATCTAAATAATTCATAATTTATTTATTTGTTTTTTTTTACATTTCAATTATACCTATTTGAAATAATCGAGTTTTGCATGATATAACGACGAAATAAATCTTGATTAAGTTCCCTAAAATTCTTAATAATATAAAATCATTGAAATAATTTTATTAAATTCAATACCAAATACTAGGTACAGCTGCATGTAAAACATAAGTTCGATCGAGTACAATAAATAATTGACGAATAAGAATCTAAAAAGAAAAGTTATTATATATTTATTTAATTCATATTACTTACCGATCGTACAATATGATCATTCCAAATAGAATTAAGTAATCGTAAATAATCATTACTGTCATTTGTTTCACTATAAAACATAAATAATTATTTAGAGAAAAAAATTTTTGATAATCAAACCTAAGTAAAGAAGGTAATAAAGCTTGCATATGTTCATCTAGCACTTTTTTCAAATTATCATAAAGCAGAGAAGGTAGAGAAATATTTGTTTCATTAGTTGATATTGTACATAAATGATCGATATGTCGATAGAGTTGTTCTTCATTTGTTGGACTATTTGTACCAGTGAGAATAGCTTGTAGCGCTTGTTTAAGTAAAGGCCAGATTTTGTCAAAATAATCCGGTGATGGTGTAAGTGAAGTAGCTAATTTGAAAAATAAAATATTAGTTAATTCTTTTCTTTTAATTAAAAAATCTCTTTCTACGAACTTTTTAAATTTTTAATTATAAGTTTCTTCGTTGTTGTTGAAGAATTTTGTGATGAAATATAAGTGGATGATGAACTACTAGGATAACGATTACGTGCATCTTTATCCATTGAATTATTATTATGCTGTTGTTTGATTTTTTTTATTGATGATGATGATGAAGAAGAGTTATTGTGTAAAGGATTTTCGATTAATGAACTACTTTGATGATCGCGTTTCAAGCGAATCGATGAATTTTTGTCACTAGTTTGTGACATTCACAAATAAGTGAACATTATTTATTTATTTTTAATAGAATAAATAAGAATATAATAGTTTTTTCTTTGTTTTGCTATGTAGTATTCAATTGATTTATATGACAAACTGACTCTCTCTAGAGTAAAAATAATAGACAGCTGATTATATTAATCTTGCATATTATTGGTTGAAAATTTAGCAATCAAAAAATGAATAGAATAAATTAATGAATCATAGTAAAAATTTCGGAAATCTTACTTTATTAAATTATCATATTAAATGGCATCTACTTTCGAAGAGATTTCTAAAATTCTTCTTTCTCGTACACCATTGCCATCTCTACTAGCTCCACCACCAGTTGATCGTTCAAAAAGTGTGTCCAGTACGCCATGGAATCAAACATTACATGATGATATATCTCGATTAGGAAAAGATTCTAATACATCTCTATTTGCTATAGCTAGTCTTCATTTATTAAATGATGATATTGGTTCATGTCATGACATTGTTGAAAAACATGGTGGACATGCCATTGCTGATTATCTTCATTATTTACTGCATCGACGAGAAGGAGATTATTGGAATGCAAAGTAAATATCTGTTTAAAAAAAAAAGAATAATTCTAATAATTGTTTTTGATTTATTAGATGGTGGATACGTCAATTGAAAAGTCAAGAATTTAAATCTGTTTACTTAACAGAACAATATAATTCATTTAGTAATGAAAAGAATATAAATAATTTATCGAACAATGCTCAATTATCTGAAGCACAAAAACGTGCACAAGCATTTGTCGATCGATGTGAACAAGTAGAAAAACAAAATAATGAACAAGAAAAAGATTTATTAAAACAAATGCAATGGAATGAAATGAAAACAGTTTTTAATTTTGCTCAAAAATAATTTTTTTAAATCAAGTTTAACTGTTCTAATAAGGATTATTATAAAAAAAGGAACATCAAAAAATATATATGGAGTATTGATGAGTTATTTTAATGATAGTTTAAGTAATAAACTGAGCCCCTCTCCATATAATTTGCAGAGCATGATTACGAAACACATTAGTATCGAATATTTTCATTCAAGATCCATCAGTGGCTTTCTTTTTTGTATCATTAAAGTTTGAACCATTATTCATGGCGAGTCATTCGATTGACATTGTCGATTTCTTGGCATCAATATAATGAATTAATCCGGATGATTATTTTCATAATGGAGTTTTTTTTAAATTTTATAGTGAGCAGAATAGGTGTGTTTCATTATATTACAAGTTAATCTTCATTGAATCAAATGGTAATGTATATCAACTTTTCCAATATATGAGATATAGATTTTTGGGTAACCTCTGTTTTATTTCATCAAACACATTCTTCAAAAAAAACATATAAAAGCATAATGAAAAACATTGGGCAGGTTTATTTTAGTTAGAACTGATTAATGTGATGATTTCTGTATGATGGTTAATATATTTAAAAAAAAACGACATTTTTATTGTTTAAATCTATCATATATAAAAAATGAAAAAGAAAATCAATGTTTTGTGATTTCAGACGATAAATTATCAACATATTTTTGTAATGAAAAACATATTTCATCTGTTGTAAATGGTGCCCATTTATCAGTTAAATTTGGATCGAGTAATATTGCAAGAATATCTGGTTGATCTTTTTTTTTCTTTTTTAATTTTTGAAGCATTTCAATAAGTAGTTGTTTTCGTTGATGTAATAATGGTAAATTATGAAAATCATAGAATGGTAATGAACGATAAAATAAAAGTGGATAAATCGATAATTCATATATATTTATAAACTCTTTTCTTTGTTCCTGATTACTTAGTTTTTTATTTCGATGATATAATCGTTGTAATAGATAGATAAGATCAGGTTGTTCAAGTGTCTGATAGAATGTACTAAGAAATATTGAATCAAGTGGTACTGTTGAAAAACTATTTGAATGATAACGTTTTTGTAATTGATATGCAAGTTCATTTCGATAAAAAACAAGTATTTCTACTAAATTTATCGGTACTATCATTGATTTTAATGGTAAACTATTATAAAGTAAATCATTATGTTCTTCACGAGATTCTAATGAAAATTGAATTCGTGCTTGTTTATATCGATCAAATTTTCCAGCTAAACCATGTGAGTGTAAATTTTTATATTGAGAATTAAGAAGAATATTTGTTTCATAAAAATGTCCTCCATGTAAACGTTTATTATAATTATTTTTTTCACTATTATCAATGGAAATCATTATCCAACCACAACCAATTTCACATTTTTCTTCATTTATTTTTGATTGACACAATTGAGATAATTCAATAAGTAAATATAAATGTTTAGAACGATCATATTCATTTGAACGTATAAGAAATTGACATTGTTGATCAATAATTGTATTCTTTTTATTCGGTGCAAAATACCAATCTTCAGTTAAATCATTTGCATTACTTTTACCAGATAATCGTCCTCGAGTTGAATGTATATTAGAGATTATTGTAAAACCATCATATAGACATATACGTATACAACGACTAAGTACTCGAATCTAAATGAAATTAAGAAGAATATTTTAAAAAGTATAGAAAACGTTGAATTAGAACATACTTGTGAACCTTTAATTTTTGGTATTTTTAAACATTTTTTAATTTTAAGAATTTTTTGATATTCAACATCTTGAATACTTATTTGATCAGTATCATCTTGCCAATAGAGATCAGTAAATGCAAAATTAGATTCTGTCATTTGTGGTATAAGCATAAAAGATAGTTTATATTGATTTTGTTGAGTTAATGGTGCTAAATCTGATGCAATAAAACCTGATGGAATATAATTATTTGTCTTAAATGCATCGACAAGTATTGATGCCGATGTCACCGGTTGTATTCGACTACGCGATGATTGTTTGTATGTTTTAGATTGAAGTTGTATATGATTGATAGGTACCATACCTTCTTGTTGAGTTTGAGGATTTTTAAATAACCACCAATCATCATCTTCTTGTTTAACAAGTATTAATATTTCATCTTTATGTAGAGTTAAATCGCTAGTTTCAATAGCATTAAAATTATGTAGGACACGAAACTGTGTTCCTGGCAAATATTTTCTCATTCGAAGTTCTTGTATATTTGCATTAACGATGGCATGTTCATCTTCTTCTTCTTCACTATCATCAGATGATCTACTGTATTCACCATCATTATCTTGGTCACTATCTTCTTCAAAATATGAATCACTTTCACTTGCATTAGCTGATTTTCGTAATGGAGTAGTAGGTTTTCTGGGTGTTGATGAAGATGATGATGATGATGTTTGTGGTGATTGACTATATTCATTAGAATCTTGTGAGTTTTCATAGATTCGTTGTTGATTGTGAAGTTCATTTACGAATTGATGTTTATCATTTATTTCATCGTTTTCATCTTCAGTATCTATATGTTCATCACTAGAAATTGCTATTTTTTGAAGTAAAGGAGTTGAAGTCAAAGGTTCTATAAATATTGTTACAAACTATTAGATAATAATAATAAAATTTTACCTTGTTTTTTATTTTTCCAAGAATCTCTATTATCTATTTTACTTTCTTCTTCATCCTCATCTTCACCTGCATCACTTATTGATTCATCATCTGAGGATGATAGTGATGGTGTGCGTATTGTAGCTGTAGCATTTGATTCTGATGTTTTGTTTTGATTAAATGGAAGATTATTCACAAGATTATCAATACCTTTTGTATTTCCATTGTCAATTGTTGTAGTTAAAGAAGCAACTGGTTGAGCATTAGAATTAATTACTCTTTCAAGTCGTTCATCAACTTGATTCAGTTGTTTTGAAAGATTTGATAAAGTTTCAAATGCTTTTTGTTTCGTTTTATCAAATGTTTTTATGGGCCAAGATGAATCTGATTCTTTAGTCATAGCATCCATTTGTTTTTGAAGATTGATTATATGTTCATTCAAATTGTATATTTGCCTACGATCTTGCAATAAACGATCATGATCAACAATACCTTTCGTACGTTCAGTATCAATTTTTTCTAATGCTTTTATACTAGCTTCTGCATCATTCTTCACTTGATCAATTTCATTCAGTAGTTGTTGCATTGTATTACACGATGCTACTGTCGGCAATGTTAATGGCCCTTAAAGAGTTGCTGGTATGTGTGTATTATCAGTTGTCATCTCAAAATTTTTTTTATCTATTATGAAGTATATCTGTATCAACCATGGTTAAAACTGAGTAGCTTAGTAACCATTAGAACGTAGGTTAAAACTATCAATGATAACAGTGGCATCTATTG